AAAAAAAAAAAAAAAACTCTTAAGGCCTGGCCCAGTGGCTCATGCCTATAATCCCAGCACTTTGGGAGGCTGAGGCGGGCAGATTGCTTGAACCCAGGAGTTCAAGGTCAGCCTGAGCAACATGGGGAAACCCTGTCTCTACAAAAAATACAAAATATTAGCTAGGCTTAGTGGCTCATGCCTGTAGTCCCAGCTGCTCAGGAGGCTGAGGTGGGAGGATCACCTGGGCCCCGAGATTGAGGCTGCAGTCAGCCGTGATCATGCCACTGTACTCCAGTTTGGCTAACAGAGTGAGACCCTATTTAAAAACAAAAACAAAAAAGACTCTTTAAAATACCATTATTACAAGTTTAGAGTCAAAAAGGACCTTAGAGATCCTCTAATTCAACCCTGTTGTTTTATATCTAGTGAAAGTGAAGTCCAGGAAAATGAAACAACTTGTCAGTCCAGGTAACACAGTTACCAGCAAAGCCTGAACCCAAAGTCAGGCCTCCTGATTTCCCAGATCATTACTCTTTCTCCTGTATGACACTGCCTTCCCAAGCAGGTTCTTGTTTAATATGCAGAGCAAAGTGTGTTCTTACGTTTGTCTGCCTGTTTTTTGAGAACGCTTTTGTATGCAAAAGCTTGTTTCCTCCTCTTGCAAATTAGATGAGAAATAAATTCATATTCATAATTTAGGTAAATCATTATTTAGACTCATGTCAAATATTTTGGAATTAATGTAGTGAGGAAACAGGATTGTCATAAGAAAACTAGATATTTAGCAATGAAATTTACACTTCTAGAAGTGCAACATGATATTGCTGAAACTGTTAGAAATCTGAATATAAAACAGTGTATAATCCTGGGAGCTTGTTTTTTATTAGGTCATTTTTCCTTCAGGAAACGATTTGAACAGCAGCAAAAACTCTTAGAAGAAGAAAGAAAAAGACGCCAGTTTGAAGAGCAGAAGCAAAAGCTCAGACTTTTGAGCAGTGTGAAACCCAAGGTAATACTTCAATACTTCTCTTCACCCAGAACATACACACCCTGAATGTGCCTCTTCCCACTCATTGAGTGGATGTCATCACTGGGGCACCAGCCCAAGCTGGGGCTGTGATTGACTCTTCTCATTTCGGTTTATCTAATTCCTAATGTGAAGGATTTTTCATTTTCTGTGAAGATACACTGTTATTGATGAGAATAGGGTATCTATCAGCCATTGTCTTCTCAGCTCTTTTTTAGTATCATGGCAGTATTTGTAATCTTTTTCTTGGAAAGCAGTAATCCTGAATTCAGAAATATTTCATATTTCTCTTAGAGCCTTCACAGGACACTTAATATCAAACAGGTCTATCCTGAAGTATTTATATATTGGCCTTGTAATGTTTTTATTTTCTGTAGAGTGTCATTGTTTAGTCATTTACCTGTTTTTCTGACTTGGAGAATTCATCATCAGAAGTATGTGGTAAAAATATTGGAAGTAGATGAGTATCTGTGCTTTTCTTAATTTGGGAGGGTTTAGGATAGAGTGAGGGATAAGTAAAGAAATATACTTATATTTGTTGTTTCTTAGACAGGAGAGAAGAGTAGAGATGATGCTTTGGAAGCCATAAAAGGAAATTTAGATGGGTTTTCCAGAGATGCAAAAATGCACCCTACTCCAGCATCGCACCCCAAGAAACCAGGTAGTTTTAAGAGGCATTACATTTTTCTTTTCTTGGAAGGTGATTTACGTAGTCCCTGTTTCTTTACCTCGCCATTATATGTGTGTGTGAAAAGTCAATGCAGAGCTCTTCCTTCAAGCTAAGTACAGATTTGGATGTTCTGAAATGTGCAGTGGCTTGAGAGCTGTAGTCTGGATAACAACTGTCTTGGGACAGAAAAAAACCTGTCTTCTAATTAAATGTCAGTACGACAATTTCACCTGTAAGTTTTCTGTATATAAATATATTAACATTAGTAAAATCTATTCAATCAGAGCAAATGTAATAAATGAGTTTACCGTTTAATTCTCATTGTTTTATAGTAATTTTATGAACTAGTTCTGATTTCATTACTTAATGTGATTAAACTTATAAATTCTTTTTTTTTTTTTTTTTTTTTTGAGACGGAGTCTCGCTCTGCCACCCAGGCTGGAGTGCAGTGGCCGGATCTCAGCTCACTGCAAGCTCCGCCTTCCGGGTTCACGCCATTCTCCTGCCTCAGCCTCCCGCCCGTCTCGGCCTCCCAAAGTGCTCTTATAAATTCTTAAAATGACTCGTTTCTAAAAATCATGGGTGTAATAATGCTCTTCTTGAAATTTTAGTTTCTCTAATGCATTTCTTTGTAATTTTTATCATCATTTATTTTCAGGTAAGCAAAAAAAAATGTACCTGTTTCAGAAAGCAGGGTAAAGGGATTGGGGGGTGGCATTTGGTTGTTCTTTTGAACATTTGGCAGTTCAAATGAGTCTTGTATTTGCATAATTGTTACCACATTGTTTTTAAAAATTCAACATTTCAAGTCGGGCGCTGTGGCTCATGTGTGTAATCCCAGCACTTTGGGAGACTGAGGCGGGTGGGATCACTTGAGGTCAGGAGTTTAAGACCAGCCTGGCCAACATGGTGAAACCCTGTCTCTACTAAAAATACAAAAATAGGCCAGGCATGGTGGCTCAAGCCTGTAATCCTAGCACTTTGGGAGGCCGAGACGGGCGGATCACGAGGTCAGGAGATCGAGACCATCCTGGCTAACATGGTGAAACCCCATCTCTACTAAAAAATACAAAAAACTAGCCGGGCGACGTGGCGGGTGCCTGTAGTCCCAGCTACTCGGGAGGCTGAGGCAGGAGAATGGCGTAAACCCGGGAGGCGGAGCTTGCAGCGAGCTGAGATCCGGCCACTGCACTCCAGCCTGGGCGACAAAGTGAGACTCCGTCTCAAAAAAAAAAAAAAAAAAAAATTAGCTGGGCATGGTGGCGCGTGCCTGTATTCCCAGCTACTCGGGAAGCTGAGGCAAGAGAATCACTTGAACCCGGGAGGCGGAGGTTACAATGAGCCGAGATCATGCCACTGCCCACTCCAGCTTGGGCGTCAGAGCAAGACTCCTTTGCAAAAATTCAAAGTTTTGACATTTTATCAGCTGATTTCAAGAAAACGTACCTAATAGGTGAACAGTTTTCATAAATCATTTAGGCAGCCAAGAAAGTACTACCTTCTGCTGGAAAATGTTACATTGATAAATTTTATCTTGAACTCTTGTATTATAGTACCTTTCATGGTTGATATCAAGAAGGAATAATCACAGGCATAGTAACCAGTTCTTGATTTTCCGGGACAACTTTTACTCTGTTCTGTTAATTTCACTTAAGATTCCCATTCCAAAAGTATGCCCCAAAATAAAATATACAAGATTGAAAAGAAAACAGATATTAGCAATCAGGCTGAGATTAGAAAGGAAAAATATACCTAAAAATGAAAATTATAAGTTGAATAAGCTAGTCAAGGAGTAATTCAAGAATATATATTGGAAGTTAATACTAAAACTGGACCTAGGCTGGAGGTTAGGAAAAGGAGAGAAAGGCAGTCAGGAGTTCAAGACCAGCCTGGCCAACATGGTGAAACCCCGTCTCTACTAAAAATACAAAAAATTAATTGGGCATGGTGACACATGCCTATAATCCCAGTCACTTGGTAGGCTGAGGCAGGAGAATAGCTTGAACCTGGGAGATAGAGGCTGCAGTGAGTCAAGACTGCGCCACTACACTCCAGCCTGGACGACAGAGTGAGACTCCATCTGAAAAAAACAAAAAACCAAAAACCTAGTCGTAAAGTATTTATAAAAAGAGTGTCCAGCCATTCTACCACCAAAGGCACCTTTTAAATTTCTCTTTATAGATTGTTTATCTAAAATGCTGAATACTGAATATACAAACTATATTGATCATATAAATTTTTTTTTTTGGGACAGGGTCTCACTCTATTGCTCAGGCTGGAGTGCAGGGACATGATCACAGCTCACTGCAGCCATGACTTCCCAGGCTCAGACAATCCTCCCACTTCAACCTCACGAGTAACTGGGACCACAGATGCACACCACCACACCTAATTTTTGTATTTTTTGTAGAGACGAGATTTCACCATGTTGCCCAGGCTGATCTCAAACTCCTGGGCTCAACCAGTCCACCTGCTTTAGCTTTCCAAAGTGCTAGGATTACAGGTGTGAGCAACTGTGCCTGGCCCATCATATAACTTTTATACTTCTTTTTAATCATACACATTAGCTGCTAGAGTTGGTATGGGCCAAAATATATTCCACATAGAATTCACACATTCTAGCCAAATGCAAAGAAACATTGGTTTGGTCATTATAGTATATTCCAAGTAAATAGTCAGGGTCCATTTAAAAAATATTTTAAGTAGCTGGGAACCCAAATTGAGAACCTAATTGTTGGGAGACTTGGAATATAATGTGGGAGGGCTTTTTCTTTTTAAAACAAACTTAATTAAGGCAATAATTTTGCATATTTTGCATCTTCTTAGAACTTTCAGTGCATCCAGGTTTTGTTTCATTGATCCTAGAGAGAGGAAAGAAGTATGCAGGGTCTCCATTTTTCAAATGAGAGCCATTTCTTTAAAAAAAAGACTACTCCTAAGCTTCAAGTCAGTGAAGAAAAAAAGACTACTTATTGTGACAATAGACTTTAGTCATATTAAAGCAATTCAAAGTAATTTAAAATGTGGGGAGGCTGGGCGCAGTGGCTCACACCTGTAATCCCAGCACTTTGGGAGGCCGAGGTGGACAGATCACCTGAGGTCAGGAGTTTGAGACCAGCCTGACCAACATGGAGAAACCCCGTCTCTACTAAAAATACAAAATTAGCCAGGTGTGGTGGTGCATGCCTGTACTCCGGGAAACTGAGGCAGGAGAATCTCTTGAACCCAGGAGGTGGAGGTTGCTGTGAGCAGAGATCACGCCGTTGCACTCCAGCCTGGGCAACAGAGCGAGACTCTGTCTCAAAAAAAAAAAAAAAAAAAATCTGGGGCCAGGCGTGGTGGTGCACACCTGTAATCCAGCTACTTGGGAGGCTGAGGCAGAAGAATTGCTTGAACCTGGGAGGCAGAGGCTGCAGTGAGCTGAGATTGCGCCACTGCACTCCAGCCTGGGTGACAGAGCTAGACTCCATCTCAGAAAAACAAAAACAAAAACAAAACAAAGAAGGTGAGACATGGTGGCTCACATCTGTAATCCCAAAACTTTGGGAGACCAAGGCAGGCAGATCATGTGAATTCAGGAGTTCGAGACCAGCCTGGCCAATATGGTGAAACCCTGTCTCTACTAAAAATACAAAAATTAGCTGGGCGTGGTGGTGGGCGCCTGTAGTCCCAGCTACTTGCGAGGCTGAGGCACGAGAATGGCTTGAACCTGGGAGGCAGAGGTTGCAGTGAGCTGAGATCATGCCACTGTACTCTAGCCTGATTGACAGAGGGAGACCCAGTCTCAAATAATAATAATAATAGTAGTAGTAGCAATAATACATGTAAAGATGCAACAATAAAATAGTATTGTTAAAGAGCTTCATGTTAAATGTAGCCCCAGTCGAGCAGGTTCATTACATAAGTGAATTTTATATTTAATAATAAAAAGCCACAGTGACATTTGTATCATTTAGTGCCAAAAATCTTTTAAAGGTAGTCGTAGTCTTCAGGCAGGGTTTACTTTCTTAAATTGACTGTTATTGTTTGATTCAGCACTTTATATATCCTAATGTTGATGCTTTTCACAAGAAAATATCACCTTAATAATGTGTTTAATATTCTTGTCTTGGCCAGGCATGGTGGCTTAGCCTGTAATCCCAGTGCTTTGGGAGGCCAAGGTGGGTGGCTTACCTTAGGTCAGGAGTTCAAGACCAGCCTGGCCAGTACGGTGAAATCCCTGTCTCTACTAAAAATACAAAAATTGGGCTGGGTGTGGTGGCTCACACCTGTAATTCCAGCACTTTGGGTGGTGGAGGCGGGCAGATCACAAGGTCAGGAGTTCGAGACCAACCTGGCCAATATGGTGAAACCCCATCTCTACTGAAAATACAAAAATTAGCCGGGCATGGTGGTTGCTACTTGGGAGGCTGAGGCAGAAGAATTGCTTGAACCCAGGAGGCGGAGGTTGTCGTGAGCCAAGATCACGCCATTGCACTCCAGTCTGGGTGACAGAGCAACAGTCTGGGTGACAGAGCAAGACTCCAGTCTGGGTGACAGAGCAACAGTCTGGGTGACAGAGCAAGATTCCATCTCTCTCTCTCTCTCTCACACACACACACACACACACACACACACACACACACACAAAAAAAAAAAAAAAAGACAAAAATTAACTGGGCATGGTGGTGCGTACCTGTAGTCCCAGCTACTCAAGAGGCTGAGGCAGAAAAATCTCTTGAACCTGGGGAACAAAGCAGAGGTTGCAGGGAGCTGAGCTCATGCCATTGCACTCTAGCCTGGGCATCACAGAGAGATTCTATCTCAAAAAAAAAAACAAGTTCTTTTGTAATTTTTATTCCTCATATGGTAACTTTACTGAAATATGATCTATGCAAGTGTGTGGATCAAGCATGATATTTCACAAATTACAAGTTTGTATTGTGCATTATTTCTTACTGAATTTCTTAATAAATAATGAAATTTAGTCATCATGGTATATATCTGTCCAAAATGTATTCAGCACTATATAGGTAGGTTTTCTTACATCTGATGTGTATTGGTTTGAGATAATATTATCTAGATAAACAGATCATTTTGACTTCAAAAATAATCGTCACTTTGATGTAAAGCATCAATGGTCTCAGGGGAAAAATTATTAATCTAATGAAAGAAAGAAAGACTGTCAAGGCCAGGAGCTCGAGACCAGTGTGGGCAACATAGTGAGACACCATCTCTATGAAAAAAAAAAGAAAGGAAGAATTAGCTGGGTATGCTGGCATGTACCTATATTCCTAGCTACTCAGGAGGCTGAGGCTGGAGGATCGTTTGAGCCCAAGAGTTTGAGGCTGCTATGATTATGAGCTGTGAGCATGCCACAGCACTCTGGCCTAGGTCCTGTCTCTAAAATAAATCAATGGATACATACATTTTTAGTTTTGCCTTTTTTGAACCAAATGCAAAATAGCTATTAAAATTCCCCTTTAGAAAGACATAAAATTGTGTATAGACATCAAAGTGTTTTACATGCATCATATAATTCCATTTGACTATTGTTACTTGTTATTTCTTGTTCACCTCCCTGTTTATGTTTCAATATATTCTTTTGCAATTGTACTACATCTTAATTCCTTTTTCTCTGTTGGTTTCCATTTTTGTGTGTTTCATTGCCATTTTCCATTTTGCAGATTGCCCCACATCATCTCATTCTACTAAAACTGTCTCCCCATCACCTGCCTTTCTTGATGAAGAAGAATTCAGTGACTTTATGCAGGGACCTGTTGAAGTTCCCCCATGTGGGCCTTCTTCCACGTCCCAGCCCTTTCAGTCTTTCCTCCCCTCCACCCCACTTGTCCAGTTGCATACACAGAAGGCTGGGACACAGCCTCTCCCTCCAGGTCAGAGTCCAGTGTCTTTTGCCTTACATGGTGTCCCTGGGCAAATTCCTTACTTCTCTACTGCTTCAGCCTCACACAGTGTACCAAAAGCAGGTAACTCTTAGCATTATTAATGAAAATATTCTTAAGATATCCTGGGATAACTTATTTTTGTTATATAAGTAGAATAATCCAGTGATGTTGGCAAATAAACATGTACATGAATGTATGACTGCTGTTGAAATTCAACAAACAAGTGTTCTAGATTTTTAAGTTCTGGGGTCTTCACATTCCGGAAAGGTGATTTAAAAGTTTTGCTCCTCAAGTAGGAGCACTTTAAACTGCCTTATAACTTTAAAAGAAATCTTCTGATTTTTCTGGAAGATTGTTGTTTGGGAGATTCACCAATATCATTTTCTTAAGAATAAGGAGCTAGGAAAGGCTTCTTTAGAAAGTAGTCTTTCAGCTTCAGTGACAGGGCACTTGGGGACAGAAGCCCGGGTTGTTCATTTACTATCAGTTTGTCCTTGATGTGCCTTAGATTTTGTCATCTGTAAAATGAATAGAGACAGCTACACATCCTGGCTTGAGACAGGGTACTGGCAGGGATCTTGGCAGACATGTACTCAGTCCAGACTTTCTCATTTGATGGATGTGAAAACAGACCAAGAGGTGATGATGATGTCACTGGCCAGAGGCCTCCCTAGGAGTTAAAGTGTTATCTTATGTAGGTTGTCAGATTTCAAAGGTAGTGCTCCTTCTTCCACTATACTCTTCCACCTACTGTCTCATAGAATTCTTTAGAATCACAGTAGATAATTATGTTTACATTCTCTAAAATCTCTAATAGTCTCTCAAGTCCTATACAAATGTGCAATAATTGAATTATTTCAACGTTTACATTTTTTTATTTTTTGAGACAGAGTCTTGCAGTATCGCCCAGGCTGGAGTGCAATGGCTTGATCTCAGCTCACTGCAACCTCCGCCTCCTGGGTTCAAGTGATTCTCCTGCCTCAGCCTCCCGAGTAGCTGAAATTACAGGCACCTGCCACCATGCCTGGCTAATTTTTTGTATTTTTAGTAGAGGTGGGGTTTCACTATGTTGCTCAGGCTGGTCTTGAACTTCTGACCTTGTGATCTGCCTGCCTTGGCCTCCCAAAGTGCTGGGATTGCAGGCTTGAGCCACGGCGCCTAGCCACAGTGTTTACATTATATGTGGCAGGACCTCCCTTTAGGATATGGAGGTGAGCTGAGCACCGTGGCTCACGTCTGTAATCCCAGCACTTTGGAAGGCTGAGGTGGGTAGGTCACCTGAGGTCAGGAGTTCGAGACCAGCCTGGCAAACATGACGAAACCCCGTCTCTACTAAAAATACAAAAATTAGCTGGGCTTGGTGATGGGCGCCTATAATCTTAGCTACTCAGTAGGCTGAGGCGGGAGAATCGCTTGAACCTGGGAGGCAGAGGTTGCAGTGAGCTGAGATCGTGCCAGTACACTATAGCCTGGGCGACAAAGTGAGACTCTGTCTCAAAAAAAAAAAAAAAAAAAAGAATATGGGGGTGGAGATGGATGATTGAAAAGATTAGACATACACACATATACAGTTATATATAAATAATCCTTCATGCTGTTTGTTTAGGCCCTTCCTTGGAGGAGAAGTTCCTAGTATCTTGTGATATAAGTACATCTGGGCAGGAACAAATTAAATTAAATACTTCTGAAGTTGGCCACAAAGCCCTAGGCCCAGGTTCCAGTAAGAGCCATCCCAGTGTAACGGCCAGTAACGGGGGTGCTGTAGATGGATGTGTAAGTGGTACCACCACTGCAGAGGCAGAAAAGACTTCAGATCAAAACCTGTCAATTGAAGAGAGTGGTGAGCTCGTGAAACATTCAGCAAAAAACTTGTTTAACCAAACGTTGCTCAAATGCTAACACCTTAAGCATTAATCTTCAAATGAATGCTGCTTGATTTTGCTAATTGAAATTTTGCTTGAAATATATTTAATGCATTCCTTTCTCCAATTAACCCCTAAGATTTTGCTCTGAATTCTTTCAACACACTGTTACTCGTTTTTAAAAATGATTTTGATAACTGGTTTTCTTAATTGGAATCATTTCTGATTTAAAATTTTCTTTCCTTTTATTTTATAAAAACTCTCTTTTTTTCCACTTATACTTTGCCTTCTTCCATAAAGGTTGAAAAGTTAAAATGTAACTGGAAAAGTCACCAATGAGAATATAATCTTGCTTTGTCTACAATAAATCATATGCACCACTGCCTAAAATATCTAAATTTTATAAATTCAACCCTCAGAAATGAATTAGAACGTGGGCAGCCTAGGAGGCAAACTTTTGGGAGGATATTTCACTGGACAAAAAGCCCCCAAAAGTCCTGTATATTTAAAACATCTGTATCATATGTAGATTAAAAAAAAAAAAAGAATGAAACTTTGCAAAGAAGCACTAGTAAAAACTGCAAGTAAAGCTGGGACAATTAAATATTTTTAGATACATAATTTTAAACTATCATCTATCATTTTTTTCCTTAATTTGTAATACATGTTAAATGGTGCAAGGCTTATATGATTTAGAATATTGAATTGATACATTTTAGATTTTGTATAATTTACTCTTTAGGACATAGTTAACGTACAAGAGTTGCTTAGAAACCAAATACTTTATTCTGAATCTGGGGCGGGGGGACCAAATATTTTAATTGTATTGGTGACTTTTTTTAGTGTCTCCAGCCAATGCTGTTTATAAAAAACCATGACTCAGTGTGATTTCACCATCTTCTCCATGGATCACTGTATACATTGATGTTTCTTATCTTCTAGGTGTGGGAGTATTTCCCTCTCAGGATCCTGCTCAGCCCAGAATGCCTCCTTGGATTTACAATGAGAATTTGGTTCCAGGTAAAAAAGCCCAGGATTCCCATCTGGATATTTTGCTATAAATATTGTAAATGTAGTTGTAAATATTTACTGTCGTAGTTACAAAATATGCAGGAGGAATTGTGACTTTTCTTTTTTTCTGAAAGAGTACAGAAATTAAATAAATGTCGTGTTTCATAAGACTGCCTCATGTATGGAATAACTATATAAATGAAGGAGAATAGTTTTGTGTTAGTGTTTTATCAGCCATCATACTTCCATTTCTAAAAGCTCTTTTAGATTTATTATGCTTTAATAGACATTATCAAATATTTAGTTCAGTGATTAATAACATCAAGAATTTTACTAAAATATTTAATGTCATTTTCTGAATTCTTAGTTTATATTTTTAAAAATATTATTTCTGTGACTTATTTGTCATGTAATACTATATGAAATAAAAGACCATGTGGGATCTTTTTTTTCACATTGGAAGATGTGAAGGATAGTGTTCACTTTTTTTTTTTTTTTTTTGAGACAAGGTCTTACTATGTCACCCAGGCTGGAGTGCAGTGACACAATCTTGGCTCACTGCAGCCTTGACCTCCCCAGGCTCAATCCTCCCACCTCAGCCTCTCTAGTAGCTGGGACTACAGGTGCGTGCCACTACGCCCAGCTAATTTTTGTATTTTTTTGTAGAGACGGGGTCTCACCATGTTGCTCAGGCTGGTCTCAAACTCCTGGGCTCAAGTGATCTGCCTGCCTCGGTCTCCCAAAGTGCTGGGATTACGAGTGTGAGCCACTGCACCCGGCCTACTTCTTCTTTACGTGTATTTTTACTGCTGAGCCAAAAAGAAAAAAAAAAAGAAAATCCTTAAAGTGCATTTTCTTCTTTAAACAAAAAAAAAATTTATTTTTAATTTTTATGGCTACATAAGTGTATATTTTTATGGAGTACATGAGATATTTTGATACAGACATACAATATGTAATAATCACATCAGGGTAGATAGCGTATCCATTACCTCAAGCATGTATTACTTCTTTGTGTTATGAATGTTCCAATTATACTCATTATTGTTTTCTTATAATAAAATAATTATTTTAATGAAGTATTCAAAATAATTTTAAACATCTGATAGTAAGATTAGACACAAATGAGTATGCTGCACAAATTATTGTTGACTGTAGCTACCTTGTAGTGCTATCAAATTCTAGATCTTATTCCTCCTATCCAACTATATTTTTATGCCTATTAACCATCCCCATTATTCCCCCCTCCCCACTACCCTTCTCAGCCTCTGGAAACCATCATTCTATTTTCTGTCTCCATGAGTTTAGTTGTTTTAATGTTTAGCTTCCACAAACGAATGAGAATATGTGAAGTTGGTCTTTCTATGCTTGACTTATTTCTCTTAATATAATGTCCTCTAGTTCCAACCATGTTGTTGGAAATGACAGGATCTCAATTATTTTATGGCTCAATTTTGCTCCATTGTGTATATGTACCACATTTTCTTTATCCATTCGATAAAGTGTCTGTCAACGGACACTTAGGTTGCTTTTGAATCTTGGCTTATAAATTAGTACAGCCACTGTGGAGAAATATTTATACTGTTCTCCATAGTGGCTATACTAATTTACATTCCTACCAATAGTGTATGAGGGTCCCCTTTTCTCCACATCCTCACCAGCATTCGTTATTGCTTGTCTTTTGGATAAAAGCCATTTTAAGTGGGGTGAGATGATATCTCATTGTAGTTTTGATTGACATTTCTCTGATGATCAATGATGTTGAGCCCGTTTTCATAAGCCTGTTTGCCATTTGCATGTCGTCTTTTGAGAAATGCCTATTCAGTTGTCTTGCCCATTTTAAAATCAGATTGTTAGCTTTTTTTTCTGTTGAGTTGTTTGAGCTTCTTATATATTTTGGTTATTAATCCCTTGTCGGATAGTTTACAGATATTTTCTCCCGTTCTGTGTGTTGTCCATTTTTTGATTGTTTCCTTTGCAGTGCAAAAGCTTTTTAACTTGATGTGATCCCATTTGTCCATTTTTGCTTTGATTGCCATTATTTTTGGGTTATTACTCAAGACATCTTGCCCAGATCAATGTCCTGGAGAGTTTCCCTAAGTTTTCTTTTAGTAGTTTCATAGTTTCTGGTCTTAGATTTAAAAGTCTTTAATTCATTTCGATTTGAGTTTTGTATTTGATGTGGGATGGAGTCTAGTTTTATTCTTCTGCATATGGATATCCAGTTTTTCCAGCACCATTTATTGAAGAGACCCTTCCCAATGTATATTCTTGGCACCTTTCTGAAAAATGAATTCACTGTGGATGTGTGGATTTATTTCTGGGTTCTCTATTCTGTTCCATTGGTCTCTGTGTCTGTTTTTATGTTATTACTATGTTGTTTTGGTTACTATAGCTTTGTAGTGTAATTTGAAGTCAGGTAATATACAGTAATGTACGGCAATTCCTCCAGTTTTGTTCTTTTTGCTCAGAATGGCTTTGGCTATTCTGGGTCCTTTGTGGTACCATATAACTTTTAGGATTATGTTTTCTGTTTCTGTGAAGAATGTAATTGGTATTGATAGGGATTGCATTGAATCTGTACTACCCATTGCTTTGGGTAGTATGGACATTTTAACAACATTGATTCTTCCAAAACATGAACATGGAATATTTCTCTACTTTTTTATGTCCCCTTCAATTTCTTGCATTAATGTTTTATAGTTTTCATTCAAATGCATTTTCTGATACTACTCATAATGACAAAAGGCTGATTGTTACCAAATCGTATGTACAATTCAACTGTACATAAAAATAATGGCTTTTCTTCCAAATGCCTATTAGACAGTTTGTATCTTTTCTTCTTCTCTGTCCAAACAAACGAAATCTAGATCTTGTTATATTTTGGAGTTTTATCCATTTTCTGCCGGTTTGTATTACTTTCTCCCTCTTCCTTCCAAACATACATGCACATATACTTTCTAGTCAAAACATGTATTTTTTTTTTTTTTTTTTTGAGATGGAGTCTCTCTCTGTCACCCAGGCTGGAGTGCAGTGGCGCGATCTTGACTCACTGCAACCTCTGCCTCCCGGGTTCAAGCAATTCTCCTGCCTCAGCCCCCTGAGTAGCTGGGGCTACAGGTATACACCACCACGCCTGGCTAATTTTTTGTTATTTTTAGTAGAGATGGGATTTCACCATATTGGCTAGGCTGGTCTGGAACTCCTGACCTTGTGACTCGCCCACCTCGGCATCCCAAAGTGCTGGGATTACAGGCATGAGCCACCACATCCGGCCAAAAATATATGTTCTTATGGAGAGCCCACTAACCTGTAATCCATACTTATAATCCCAGATGTAAAATTTTTGTTTTAAACAGTTTCTCTGTCCACCTTAGCCCCACTAACTTTCATCTCCCTAACTAAGCTTGCTAGATTTAGTAAATAACCATACAGGTTGCCCAGTTAAATTTGAATTTCAGGTAAAAAGCAAATAATTTTTTAGTATAAGTATGTCCCATGCAATATTGGCATTCTTTATTTTAGCCCTGTCTCTAACAACATTTCCCACTTGGTCCTTTGGAAAACCCATGTTATTATCAAAAACTCACCAACCGTACCCCCCTTTTTAAGACACTTGTTCTGCTTCCTCACCCTAACAGAAACTGGGTCTTTCCTTAAAGGTTGTATTTCCATAGCATCTTCTCCAATGGTGTTTTCTCTCACAGCCTCAATGTTGGTATAATTCTTACTTCCTGTTGCTCTTTTCAAACTGTTCCCACCATCATTACTCTACGGCTTCTCTTGTAATATCCAAAGCGTGCTGTCTTGTTACAGTCTTCTACTGAATTATAAGACTTTGTCTCACCTCTAGCCCTAAACTTTATCTTTAGTACCAAGCTCCAGACTCTGATTGTCTGCTGGACGTTTCCTCTTGAATATCTCAATTTTTTTTTTCTTTTTTTCTGAAACGGAGTCTCACTGTTTCCCAGGCTGAAGTGCAGAGTGCAGAGTTGCAATCTTGGCTCACTGCAACCTTTGTCTCGGGGTTCAAGCGATTCTCCTGCCTCAGCCTCCTGAGTAGCTGGGCCTACAGGCACATGCCACCACGTCTGGCTAATTTTTGTATTTTTAGTAGAGATGGGGTCTCACTATGTTGGCCAGACTGGGCTCGAACTCCTGACCTCAGATGATCTGCTGGCCTTGGCCTCCCAAGTGCTGAAAGATTATAGACGTGAGCCACCATGCCCAGCTGCACTGAAATATGTTTAAAGCAGTTTAAACCCTGACATGGCTTTGGTTCTATTAAAGCAGTTTGATTGAAGATTATTCTTGTATACCAACAATGGCACCCCAAAAAATGAATCACTTGGAATGTGTTTCCATTTGTAATCTGGTATTTCCTTTAATAGATGCCTATAAGAAAATCTTAGAAACCACAATGACTCCAACTGGAATAGATACTGCCAAACTGTATCCCATTCTGATGTCATCTGGGCTTCCCAGGGAAACTCTTGGACAGATATGGGCCTTAGCTAATCGAACTACACCTGGCAAACTTACAAAAGAAGAACTTTATACTGTTCTAGCCATGATAGCGGTAACACAGGTAAACCATGTTTCTTAAGTTAGATCAAATAACTTTATTAGTATAAATTGCAAGGATATGAAATCTTTTTTACTACATTGTGTAACTCCTTGTACATTAAAATTTAGGTCATTTTCAGGATATAGTACTTCAAAAATGTAGAGTTTATATGATGTGCATAATAGCAAGTTATTCCTTTGTTTAAAGACCTTTTGTTTTGGTTTGTTTTTGAGACTGAGTCTCACTCTATTGCCCAGGCTGGAGTGCAGTGGTGCGATCTCAGCTTACTGCAGTTTCCACCTCCCGGGTTCAAGTGATTCTCCTGCCTCAGCCTCCCAAGTAGCTGGGATTACAGGCACCTGCCACCATGCCTGACTAATTTTTATATTTTTAGTAGAGATGGGGTTTCACCATGTTGGCCAGGCTGGTCTCGAACTCCTGACCTCAAGTGATCCACCTGCCTCGGCCTCCCAAAGTGCTGGGATTACAGGTGTGAGCCACCATGCCTGGCCTAAAGACTTTTAATATATTAACATTCTCTGAATTTGAAAGTTAGTCAGTAATAGGTGAAATTACTCTGTCTTTTGAAGTTTTCTCTAAAATTTCATAGATATAAAGTATTCTCAGTCTGGTAGAAATTTTTCTTTTATTGCAAAGTCATTTAAAATGATTTGATCGTATAGAATTAACCAAACGTGTCAGAAAGTGAAAATGTCAGAACTGATATGTGTTGGCCATTTCTTTGTTAAGTATTAGGTTTGCATTGACCTTGTAACTTTTTTTCTTAAATCAAATTCATGAGTTTTGAGAGTAGGAGTGGAAACATGCAAAGGCTACAGATTTTTACCTTTCAGTCTCTGCCAGATTTCGACCGTATGTGGTTTACAACCCCCTAATCCATTTTCTTTCTATCATTTGTAGAGGGGCGTTCCTGCAATGAGTCCTGATGCTTTAAACCAGTTCCCAGCAGCTCCTATTCCAACTTTAAGTGGTTTTTCTATGACTCTGCCTGCGCCGGTGAGTCAGCCAACCGTGATACCTTCAGGCCCTGCGGGCTCCATGCCCCTCAGCCTTGGACAGCCAGTCATGGGTATTAACCTTGTTGGACCAGTGGGTGGAGCTGCAGCCCAGGCTTCTAGTGGTTTCATACCAACCTTCCCTGCAAATCAGGTAAATGAAGAAGCTGTGCATATTTCAAATAATCACTGAAAGTGAATCTGGGCACCATTTTTTCCAGGGATACATAGAGTAGGTTACTGGATTATAGGGAGCACATTTAAATTCTTAGGTTGTATCTTTCAGAAAAACTGCTAAACCTGAAATTAAAATACTTTAGTTTTTCACTTCTCAGATTAGCAAAAATGTTTTAAGTATATAATATTTAATGTCATTGAAAAAGTAGGGTAAAAGTGACTAATACACTCTAGGCTTATTGGTACAGCCTTGTTGAAAGGCAGGCTTGGCAATAGTTATCAAAATTCTAAATGTCAAGCTGGGCGTGGTGGTGTGTACGTATAGTACCAGCTACTCCAGAGGCTGAGGCGGGAGGATCACTTGATCCCAGGGGTTCAAGTCTGCAGTGTGCTATGGTTATGATCACACCATTGCACTCCAGCTTGGCAACAGAAGGAGACTCAGTTTAAAACAAAAAAAATGCCTCAGCATATCTGTATCTTCTCTCCTAGCAGTCATATTATTAGAAATCTATCCTAAGAAATAGTTACTCAAATTAGCAAAGATATGTAAGAATTTTTGTTGTAACATTGTTTGTTAAGAGTAAAAAGTGGAAATAGCTAAATATCTAACAGGAGGAGAAAGGTTAATTTCAGTTCATTCACACAGTGGTGGTAATCTTTAAACTGAGTAAGATAGAGCTACATGTACTGCATGGAAATGTATCTTTGTTATATAGTTAGAGTATAGAGCAATATAGTGTAATCGCATTTTTCTTTAAAACAAGTGAGCTGTTAACAGTACTTCTGGAGTGTGGGATTAGGAGTCAGTGTCCACTCTTTGTACATGTATGTGATTGGTTATGATGAGCTTGTGTCACTTAGTTTGCAAACATGCATGATATATCTATATGTCTTTTTTTTTTTTTTTTTTCATTTTGACCTTTTTAATTTTTTTATTTTTTTTGAGATAGAGTCTTGCTGTATTGCCCAGGCTGGAGTGCAGTGGTGTGATCTTGGCTCACTGTAACCTCTGCCTCCCAGGTTCAAGCCATTCTCCTGCCTCAGCCTGCCAAGTAGCTGGGATTACAGGTGCCCACCACCACACCCAGCTAGATATGTCTTTTAAAGATGGCAGGCACTTAGTAACCCAATGAATGTCATTCAGCTATTTTTTAAATGTATAGATTAGCTTTTTTTTTTTTTTTTTCAGCCAAAGTCTTGCTCTGTTGCCCAGCTGAGCTGGAGTGCAGTGGCACAATCTCAGCTCACTGCAACCTCTGCCTCTTGAGTTCAAGCGATTCTCCTGCCTCAGCCACCCATGTAACTGGGACTACAGACACATGCCACCATGCCCAGCTAATTTTTGTATTTTTAGTAGAGATGGGGTTTCACCATGTTGGCCAGACTGGTCTCGAACTTCTGACCTCAGGAGATCTGCCCACCTTGGCCTCCCAAAGCGCTGGGATTACAGACGTGAGCCACTGCGCTCAGCCTAGATTAGCTATTTAAACCAGTTTTTTTTACCATTTGTACCAGAGAGTATCTAAAAATACAAAACAGTATTCCTGCCTTAAGCACTTGAGTTAATGTATCTAAACTGAGAAATTTTAAGGGCAGTCTTTGACTGTTGGAGATTTGTTGTGTATTTATTTTGTCAGTCAGTGCTATTTATTTAAATATCCTTTATAAACCTAGGTAGTAAAGCCAGAAGAAGACGACTTCCAGGATTTTCAAGATGCTTCTAAGTCAGGATCCCTTGATGACTCTTTCAGTGATTTCCAAGAGTTGCCTGCTTCTTCAAAAGCAAGTAACTCCCAGCATGGAAACAGGTAGAAAAGAGTTTAATATATTTAACATTGTATTTAACCATTAAGAAAGAGACATCCATAATAGGAAGGCTAGGTGTGAGAAATTTAAAAACTAAGACTCCTTACTCTGCTACTTTCTATGATTATTCCTTCTGTATTAATACTTTTATTCTCCAAACTTCTCTCTTTTGTCCACCTTAAACTTCAGCTCCTACTGTTTCCTCTAAGTACACACCTACCTGGCAATATTCTTTTTCACCTGTGCCAAACCTTTATTATAGCTAGAGCACCTGTGCAGTGATGACTTCATGTTCCTGTATTAAAGCAAGGTCTTCAACTGTTGAAAAGTTTTTTAGGCAGGAGCACATAATTGTATGTTTTTGTAGTGTTATGTACTGTTGCTTTGCCACAGAATCATAATTCACAACTCTAATCATATTTCTTCACATTTCTTGTATAATTGACATTAGTGTCTTTTAAGCCTTCAGATTTCTGTTGTTTGCATAGACAGCTGCGTAAACATTTCTCTAAGGTTTTACATGCCACGTTAAGCTTCGGGTACAGTAACTGATTCAGTATGTTGTCAGCATTTTTTTTTTTTTTTTGAGATGGAGTCTAGCTCTGTTGCCCAGGCTGGAGGGCAGTGGTGTGATCTTGACTCACTGCAACCTCCACCTCCCAAGTTACAGCGATTCTCCTGCCTCAGTCTCCCTAGTAGCCAGGATTACAGGTGTCCACCATCACACCCAGCTAATTTTTTTGTATTTTTGGTAGAGATAGGGTTTCACCATTTCGCCATGTTGGCGAGGCTGGTCTCAAACTCCTGACCTCAAGTGAGCCTCTCGACTTGGCCTCCAAAGTGCTAGGATTACAGGCATGAGCCACCATGCCAAGCCTGCATTTTTAAAAAAGTATTTAGATATTTCTGCAAAGTGGAACACATCAGACACCAGAGTAAGCGATATGAATTCCTTTGTTTTTATTTTTCAAATTGGTTTTTGTCAGAATACATATTCCGTGTCTCCTGTGTTCCTGTTTATGCAGTTTCGCTCCTTTCTTCCCCATTTAGCCGATTGATTATCTCTTAGCACTTTGCCGCATACACACTGTAACAAGAACTAAGGGACAGGCATTATAGAGAATTACAAATTAGGAAAAGAGACTATTCCCCTGATTTTAAAAATATATTAAATGCATGTACGTAACATATAGAAGAAACATATAAGGAATGAGACCATAGAGTGCTGGTATTTCCGGGACTGCTGCACCAACACAAACAAGTTAAACCTTCTAGACACATAAATTATATTTCTACTCCAGATCTCTTCCTTCAAACAAAATTTGTATGTAGTACTACTATCTAAGCATTCCCATCTGAATGACTCAAGGCATCTCAAATTCACTGCATGAAATTAAATTCATTGTTTTCCTACTCAAAGCCAAATAAAAATGTGTTAAATCATTATTCCCTTCGTTGGTGAATGATGTCACCATATTCAGTCACCAGATTAAAAGCATGCTATTTACTTTGGCTCTGTCCTCTCTCCTTTACCACCATTAACTCTGTCAGCTCTGTGTGACAGTGTGTGATCTTAACTCCTGCCCGCTCTCAACTCTTGCTATTTCCCATGACTTACACTCCAGCCATGCCAGCATGACTCCAAACTGACCGTGCTCTTTCAAACTTTATACGTTCTGTTTGCTTCAGTCTGAAATACCCTTACCTAATCTCCCTATAGTTGTAGTTCCATTTCAGAAATCAGCTAAATATAGGAAGTTTTTCCTAACCAATTCCTACCTCCAAGGTGAGTTAGGGGCCCCTCCTTTGCTACTGCTATAGTACCTGATGAATATCTGTGCCCTAATTGTAACTGCTGGTTTTCCTGACTGTTTCCCTTACTAGGCTGTAAGTATCTGAAGACAATCATTCATGTTTATATATGTAGTGCTTGGCCCCGTCATATGTAATTAATAAAGATTTGCTGGATGACTGTATTATAGTATGTGGCTTATAAACATGATTTATCAAATTGGTGATTTATTTATCTGAGCAAAACTCTGTTTGTAGATGAAATTAAAATTTGGGGGTAGAAAGTTTTAAGATGGTGGCCAGACCTGAGATATATGGGGTATTAGCAATTTTGTGTGGCATTATCTCCATGTAATAGTTTACTTTCATATATGATACTTTGCAGATATTCCTCTTACATATAGCTCTGACTTGACTACTTCCATGCTTTCCTTGAATGAAACTATTTTATTTGTTTTTTTTTTTTTTAAGATGAAGCCTCGCTGTGTCACCAGGCTGGAGTGCAGTTGCGCAACCTCGGCTCACTGCAACTTCTGCCTCCCAGATTCAAGTGATTCTCCTGCCTCAGCCTCCCTAGTAGCTGGGACTACAGGCGTGCACCACCACACCAACCTATTTTTGTATTTTTAGTAGAGACGGGGTTTCACCATACTGTCCAGGCTGGTCTCAAACTCCTGACCTCAGGCGATCTGCCTGCCTTGGCCACCCAAGGTGCTGGAATTACAGACGTGAGCCACCATGCCCAAATGAATGAAACTATTTTGGTATTATCTAGAATTCATACTCAATATTCATTTATTCATCTAGCAAACATTTATTTAGTATTTGCTATATGCCAGACACTGGGATAGGCATGAGAAATACAGAAGCAAAAACCACAGTTCCTGCTCTAAGGACACTTAGTTTTATCTGGTATTTAAATTATCTGATAAAGTTCTCTTAGGATTAGTCCTTAAATGTATGTATAAAATGTATTCCCTAGTTTATGATAATCTGTACTCCAAATTGTTTTAAAAAGAGATTTGTTAAATCATGATGTGAATAGCTAAGCCTAGGAGAGACCATTTTGAACAGAAAATGGGCATTATTTGTTAGAGAAGATGAAAAGGCAAGTAAGATGTTAGGAGTAGACCGGGATGGAGAACATTGTTAGTCTGTGAGAAAATAACATTAGTAAGGGACAGCACCAGTTGTGGGATGCCTTATGACTTATGACATACTCTATTTTAAAGCATTTTAGGAGTAAGAAGTGGCACAATGAAAGTGATTCTTGCTACTGTGTATAGGATAAATTCAATTGCCATGGTAATCCTGCTGTGAGATGATGAGAATTACTCAGGGTTTAGAGTTATAGACACTGAACAGTTTATATCTGAGAAATTGGTTAGACTCGGTGTTGAACTAGATGTCAGAGTCAAAGGAGAGATGGCAGTTGAGCCCGCGCATAAAACCTGAAGGGCCTCTGGAAGGCAGCAACATCATCCAGTTACTCATTCAGAAAATACTATATGCCGGGCACTCGGGAGCCTAGACTAATCAAGAAAGCAGATATGGGACATTGATCATAGAAGAGTTAACAAGGGGGCCAGGGTTGGCCAGGCACGGTGGCTCATGCCTATAATCCCAGCACTTTGGGAGGCCGAGGCAGACGGATCATCTGAGGTCAGGAGTTTGAGACCAGCCTGGCCAACATGGCGAAACCCCGTCCCTACAAAAAAAATAAACAAATAAAAATACAAAAATTACCCAGGCATGGTGGTGTGTGCCTGTAATTCCAGCTACTTGGGAGGCTGAGGCAGGAGAATTGCTGAACCTGAGAGGTAGAGTTTCCAGTGAGCCAAGATCGCGCCACTGCACTCCAGCCTGGGAGACAGAGTGAGAAGTTGTCTTATTAAAAAAAAAAAAAAAAGGCTGGCGGGGAAGGCTGGGTGCAGTGGCTCTTGCCTGTAATCCTAGCACTTTGGGAGGCGGATCAGTTGAGTCCAGGAGTTCAAGACCAGCCTAGAAAACCTATGGAGACGCCATCTCTACCAAAAATGCAAAAATTACCTGGGCATGGTGGTACATGCGTGTAGTACCAGCTGTCCCAACTACTTGGGATGCTGAGGCAGGAGAATCACTTGAACCCAGGAGGTCGAAACTGCAGTGTGCCATGATCGTGCCGCTGCACTCCAGCCTGGACAACAGAGGAAGACACTGTCTCAAAAAATAAATAAAAGTTCACAAAGGGTTAATGTACAGGAGTTTGGGGTTGGTTAGTTTATTCTGCTGAGATCAAAATATTTCTTTTTAAATGTATATATTTAGCAGGGTAAGCAACTAAATAAAACTACCACAGTCATATGGAGTGATTGTAAAACACTAATAGATTCACTAGAGAAAATGCAAAATACTTTTTTATGCCGAATTTTTTAAGTCTTACCTTTCAGTAGAATACAGGTTCGTAAGTGTAAAATCAATATGCCTTTCTCACTTGAGTATTTTCATTAGTATGAAAGGGTAGAAATAACTGTCTTCATGTTTGGAACGGATGATGACTACTGTGTAACTGGCATAAACACTTTCATGGTGATTATAGTGTTTTTTTTTTAAATAACTTCAGAGAAAGAACTGGAATGAAATATTCATTTGCAGTGTGCATAAAATTACAGTCTGAGTCATAACTTTTTTTGAATGAAATTTTGTTGACTTTAATCAGCAAGCAGTACTTCATTACCCTGAAGATCCTGGTTTTTTTTTTTTTTCCCAATTCTGTGAATATAATTTTAAAATTAATCAATTAAGTGTAACATGTAGTAGAAAGATTTTTACCAATGAGCCTTAAAAGGCCATAGCTAAAGTTGGAGGATCATGAAAAATAAAGAAATCATTCAACTTTTGGGTTTTTTTCCCCCTAAGATGTTAATTGCCTTTATTCCCGTGTAACATCCTGTACAGTGAATTGTACTTTAATTACTTATGGAACTTTTAAAAAGTCAACTTACAATGTATAGATGATGGCTTATTTCATTTGTCAAGATCAGTTATGTAGCAGCTGTTTGGTGGTGATGTGAAATCATAATATTTGATGGCATTAAGTCCTAAAGGACTGTGTACCCCATTAGCATGCAGCTGCCGGAGCCTAGTTTTTACCTTGCTTGTAAGCCACTGATAAGAAGATTTAAATGACAGTGGGAATATTTTTGCTCCAGGGCAAAGAACTCAATAGAAATCCATTTATATAACTTGTGCATGGTATTGAATGACACAAACTAGTGGTGGAATGTAGTCATTCATATGTAAAGGTAGTTCTTCCAGGGAGCTGCCCGGGTCCGATAAGGGAAGAAGAAGAAGAAAAAAAAAAGTAATGCTTTTATAGTATGTGTTTAAGCCTTCTAAGAGTTACCCACACAGATACTACTCATTACGCTACTTTTCCATCCAGCATGAAATATGTCCACAGGCAAAAGTATCTTTATCTAATTTTGAAGTGATTGTTGTTTTGTTACAAAGATAGCTTCTGAAACCGCTGATGTGATCCTTGTAAAAATGCAAATTGTATTAACTCTACGGCAGCTTATCAGATGTGTGCACTTCTACCGGTAGGCAATGCAGTACAGTCAGAAGAAGAACAATTTACATTTGTCTTGGACAACATTTCATAAATAGATTTTTATCTTAACTGTTCTACCCCTGCACTCTGAACCCATTGAAGATAATAATTTATATTAAGGTTAACATGATTTATTTTAAAATATTGAGTATACATATGTGGAACAGTTCACTTTTGTAGTTTTATGGACCTTAAGTTAAAATTGCAGGAAGTCATCATTCTTTAATAACCTACATCCAATGCCATTCCAGTTATTATGGCTTAAAGAGGTGCTTAGACAGTCAGCATGGATCTGACCCCTCTTCATTTAATTAAGAAAAAAATGATTGGGTAATGTATTTTATCTGTTTTTTTTTTTTTTTTTTTTTTTTTTAGAAAAAGGACATTTTTTTTCTTTGTGGTGTATATGTATACTATATAGTTTCTAACTTTTAAAGCAGAGAGCCATGAGTTTTAATGAAATCCCTGTTTGCCATTTTAATTCGAACTTCTTTTTTGATGATAAAGGAAGCATTCAATGTCATCAAAACATGTTTCGTTTTTCCTTTAGTGCCCCTTCTTTGTTGATGCCACTTCCCGGAACTAAAGCATTGCCTTCAATGGACAAATATGCTGTGTTTAAAGGAATTGCAGCTGACAAGTCCTCTGAAAATACTGTTCCACCTGGAGGTAAAAACAGTGGGTAAATTCATAAACTTGTGAATGCTAAATTGCATAATATTTAAATTGTATGAATCTTTAAGTGGTGTTCTTCTGTGTGCTAAATGTGTAAAATGCCTGTATCACATGTTAAGAGTGTTTGGCGGCTGGGCGCAGTGGCTCACGCCTGTAATCCCAGCACTTTGGGAGGCTGAGGCAGGCAGATCACGAGGTCAGGAGATCGAGGCCATCCTGGCTAACACAGTGAAACTGCATCTCTACTAAAAGTGCAAAAAATTAGCCGGGCATGGTGGCGGGCGCCTGTAGTCCCACCTACTTGCGAGGCTGAGGCAGGAGAATGGTGTGAGCCCGGGAGGCAGAGCTTGCGGTGAGCCAAGATCGCATCACTGTACTACTGTAGCCTGGGTGACGGAGCGAGACTGTCTTAAAAAAAAGAAAGAGTGTTTGGTTAAATCAATCTGCCTGACTTCCTGGAGCTGTAATTTCAGGATTCCTAACCTTAATTGAGCTTCTGTCCTTTCTGTCATAGATCCTGGTGATAAATATAGTGCTTTCAGAGAACTCGAACAGACAGCAGAGAATAAACCTTTAGGTAAGTTTTTGAGTCCTTAAAAGGATAAATTATTTCCATTTTTAATAAAAAAGGGATTTTTGATGGTTCTTTCCATGGCATTCCTTTATTTTAGTGTGTGTGCATGTGTGTGTGTGTTTGTGTGTTTAGGAGAAAAAAACTGAATAGATAAAACAGTATGGTATAGTAGTGATGTTTATAATAGATACTCTTAAGTATTCTACTTCAGAAAACCTTAATAATAGCAACTGTGTTTAGGCCAGGGGCGGTGGCTCATGCCTGTAATCCCAGCAGTTTGGAAGGCCGAGGAAGGCGGATCACCTGAGGTCAGGAGTTTGAGACCACCCTGGCCAACATGGCAAAACCCTGTCTCTACTAAAAATACGAAAATTAGCCGGGTGTGGTGGTGCACACCTGTAGTCCCAGGTACTCAGGAGGCTGAGGCAAGAGGATCGCTTGAACCCAGGAGGTGGAAGTTGCAGTGAGCTGAGATTATGTCACTGCACTCCAGCCTGGGTGACAGAGCAAGACTCCATCTCAGAAGAAAAAAAAAAAAAGCTACTGTTTTTAAAAAATATCAGACACAGTTGCTCACACCTGTAATCCTAGCACTTTGGGAGACTGATCTGGGCAGATCACCTGAGGTCAGGAGTTCGAGACCAGCCTCACCAACATGGTGAAACCCCATCTCTACTAAAAATACAAAAAAGTTAGCCTGGCATGGTGACATGTGCCTGTAGTCCTAGCTACTCAGGAGGAGGCTGAGGCACAAGAATCGCTTGAACTCAGGGAGACAGAGGTTGCAGTGAGCCAAGATCATAAAAAAAAAAAAGAAAAGATAGGTACTGAATGGGGGATTATCTAATAGAAGGGAAATAAGATTACTTCTTATAGTTCTAGAAATTACAAGGAGTTAAATGTACTTGAGAATTACTTATTTTCTAAAATCTAGGGCATGCCAGGCACAGTGGCTCATGCCCGTAATTCCAGCACTTTGAGAGTCCAAAATGAGAGGATGGCTTGAGCCCAGGAGTTTGAGACCAACCTGGGCAACATAGTGAGACCTTGTCTCCACAAAAAAAAAAAAAAAAAAATTTAGCCAGGTGGGGGGATGCACACCTCTGGTCCCAGCTACTCAAGAGGCTGAGGTGGGAGGATTGCTTGAGCCTGGGAGGTGGAGGCTGCAATGAGCCCTAATTGTGCCACCGTACCCTAGCCTGGGCAGCAAGCAAGACTCCATCTCAATCAATCAATAAAAATAAAATAAAACAATATTTGGGGCAAATTCCAAATCAGCGTTGTTTCCTTTGAAGACAGGACATTCCCTTTCATGGGAAGCTTGCATGACAAGTTAAATTCCCTTGTGAAATGAGAGCTGTGGTTACTCTGATTTATTACACTGCTCAACGAGGCTTGAAGTATTAGCAGTACAGCAATCTGTGGACTGTAAAGGCAGCAACTAGTTTTTTTTTTGAAACAGAGTTTTATTCTTGTCAGCCAGGCTGGAGTGCAATGGCATGATCTCGGCTCACTGCAGCCAATACCTCTCGGGTTCAAGCAATTCTTCTGTCTCAGCCTCTTGAGTAGCTGGGATTACAGGTACCTGCCCCCATGCCTGGCTAATTTTCATATTTTTAGTAGAGACAGGGTTTCACCATGTTGGCCAGGCTGGTCTCAAACTCCTGACCTCAGGTAATCTGCCCACCTCGGCTTCCCACAGTGCTGGGATTGCAGGCGTGAGCCACCATACTTGGCCAGTCTTTTTCTTTTCAAGATTTTTTTTTTCTATTACTGTTGTGGTACCTGGTACCATTATTATTTGTTATTTTTTAGCTATTCACTCATGATCTAGAAATAACACATTCTAGAATAACATTATTAAAAACAACTTGATTAAGGCATAGTCACTGCTACGTATTATAAAGCAGGTACAAGGTACTTTACATTCACAGAGGTATAATATAGTACTGTCTTACATCTACAATACTAGAGCGTACAATTAAAAAGACGTTATATAAGATTTGATTCTACTTTTCCAGTAGAGAGCCCAAAGGTTGGTATGACACAGCTCTCATAGAGAAATGCACCTTCTTAGCTAGGATTTTCTTTCAGTAGTAGCATGGTTATAGGCACTCACTTTTCTTCCTGAACATCAGCTAAAAATAATTTTAAAACAAACAAATGAAACATTGGATTCCTACAAAGATGACCAAGTGGGGGTAAGCAGGACTCAACCAAACTCATATTTTACCAGATCCCTCATGTTTGAACAGTGAGAGCTCTGTGAAAGAAAGGGAATGGCAAGCAGCACTTCAAAACTTGGGCCACAACCAAAACACAGGATCATTTCAAACAGAAGCAGTAACCAAACAGTGCTCACTTAGTATGTTCAAGGATGCCAACATCAATATTCAGTCATCTGCACACTCATCCAGTAAGAATGGGTGATCAGTTACTATACTTGGCTTGCGTTAAACTGAATCACCACTCTACAAGATTTTCAAGATTGGCTGTAATTTAATGAGAAAGATGAAGAGAGGGGTTTATGTGCACGTGTGGTTACCATCTCTAATAGTAAGACTTAGAGTACAAGGGAGTATAAAATGATCATTCGAGAGTCATATATGTAAAAACCGAAAGTTATATTTGTGGTTAAATCCTACTGTAAACGTGATGTGTAGGGTTTAGATAACCCATGGGTCAAAGTATGTTCTCGAAAGCTTAACTATGCATGCTATGAAATGTGTATACTCTAATGAGAATTTCCTTCTGGGAACAATACCACATTCTATCTTTACATATTGAATGCTCAGACTTGGGACATCCTTCAGCAATCTTTTATTTCCACCCTTCTGCTAGGTTGGGGAGAGATGGTGGGTAGGTATGGTAGGAACTGTATTGCTTAATCATCTCTAAAAAAGGGAAGCCCACCTCTTATAAAAATATTCAACCTCTTTTAACTGTTAGGTTCTAGAAATGTTTCCTTGTGTTTCATCCAAGCTTTTAGAATGTAATAGCCATTTCTTCCTCAGTATCAGATACACAGTGGGAGTAACAGAGTGGGAGTAACAGAGATAAACAGAGTAACAGTGTGGGAGTAACAGAGACAAACCCGAGGGGAACTTTTGACTTGTGAGGTTTTTATTTGCACCTAGCAATGTTTTTTTCATCAACACTTGGGCCAAGACAAGTTTGGAGTAAAGAGCACATAGTTTAACATGAGGGTTCTTTGTGTAATGTGGTATTAATGACCATAATATGTATTCCTGTAACAGACAATAGGAAAAGACAGTGGTGCCACCAATATGTAAGCAGTACCTTAGTCCTGCTTTTTCAATACTTTTTTTTTTTTTGAGACAGTGTTATGTTCTGTCATCCAGCCTGGAGTGCAGTGGTGCAGTCATAGCTCACAGCAGCTTCCAGCTCCTGGACTCAAGCAGCCTCAGCCTCCCCCCCAAGTTGCTATAACTGTAGATGTGCACCATCACAATGGGGTCTTGCTCTGTTGCCCAGGCTAGTCTTGAACTCCTGGCCTCAAGCAATCTTTCCAGCTCAGCCTCCCAAAATGCTGGGATTACAAGTGTGAGCCACCATGGCCAACCAAATTTCAGTACTTTTTAAAAAAAGTTCCAGATTGTTGTTATTTTCATTTGCCTGCTTTCATTCCTGTCTTAATTCTAAGGTCTTCCAAGTAGAGTTACCAACTGTGTTCATTTTAGGAGAATAGATTTTATTTTCCTAAATGGTATGATATCTTTTTAATACTCATTAAAAATACATTGATTTGACTTTGTTAAAGTACATTAGTATCTTAGAATTTATGAAGAATCTTATAGTATTGTGTTCAGAGCTATGGGTTGCTTAGGTTACTGAATGACAGAGTTTAATAATATTTCCTTTTTTCCATCTCCACAGTTTAAGCCATAAATTAAAGTAAATGAGGAAAATGTTCTTTATAAATAAATGGCACATTTTTATTGAAGTTTTAGCAAAAAAGTGGATTCTTTTGAGATTTTTTAGAGCCTAAAAAGTGACAGGAGAGGGAAACTTATGAGTATGTAGACATTAACCAAAAAGCTAACCATAAAATAATATGCTTAATATGCCTTCTGATAGACAAGCTTCCATTGACTGTGACTAATTTATTTGCCAACAAATTCCCTTTGTAAACCCACCCATTTTTATTTCCTTTTAACCCTTTCACCCAGCTTACATTTCCATTGGAAAAGTTTACAATTCATCAGTAAGTGTAGTTTGCTGTGGTGATTAAAATACACAAACAAAGCAATACTTGTCAATTTCACAGATATTTCAAAGCAATGCATTAAAAATTTAGGCTGTGATAAAAATGACTACTTATTACCTCTACATTTACAAAAATAATACAGATATAATCAGTGATACTACTAATTTAAAATTCTAGGGTGATTTTTAAAAGTTTTACATCTTCTATCAGTTTGTGAAATTGACTTGAGTTTTACTAGTGGTATGTCTTACAAATATAAATTACAGGAAATCTGAATGCTGTTCCTCTCTTATTAAATGAATTCCTTGGTGTTGATGAATTATGGTGATGAATTGGTTAACTATCTCAGGTTAGGAGGAAAAATCAGCTTGTATTGTTTTTGGTGCTTTTTTTTCATCTTCTATATCCAAGTATATATCTTGTTACAAGCACAGTATATTTTATTTTTTTAATTTTTATTTATTTATTTATTTATTTATTTATTTATTTATTTATTTATTT